AAGTTTTATGCATGTTTTGTAAAAATTAATAGTTTGGATTCATAAACTGAAGTTTTTTATAAAAAATACTAATATTGTAACATGAAAAAATTTCCCCCTCTATTATACATAATACAAGGGAAGAGGGGTGGTAATAAAAAGAAAAGGGGGAACTTTAGTCCAGTTATAATAAAAGGAGGGGGAAGTTTTTTCATGTTACAATATTAGTATTTTTTATAAAAAACTTCAGTTTATGAATCCAAACTATTAATTTTTACAAAACATGCATAAAACTTTTTAAATCTTTTTCGGCATGCGGTCAAATGTGCATTTTCTAACAGATATTTTATAATATTTTCAATAGGATTTAATATGTTGATAAAAGTTTTATATTTTGGTGAGAAATAAATTAAAAGCTCATTTCGATAAATCAAGATTTACTTGGTTGGTGATTTTTAAAGCCTGTATACACTGAAAATTTTTGTTTTTATCAGTGTCTAAAATAATTATTTTTTAATTTTTTAATGCCTATTTTCATTGCTTTTTTTTTTTTTTATGTTTTATATAACGAGTAAAAATTATTAAACACTATTACAAAGGCAATAAAAGGGGGTCTTAATAATTTTGAGGTTGGTGGGAAAACATTCCAAAAATTAATAAACGTTCCTCTCCCCCCTTTTATGAGGACTCGAGAGTAAATAATGAATACAGTAATTTAATGGCTAATAAGATGTTAGTTTTATGTTTTGATGGTCAATTTTAAAGCATATTAAAGAGAACACTAGACAGGCAACTACTGCAGATAGACTATCGGTATCTGTAACTAACCCAGATTTTAAAAGACGATCTTTTATTTAAAGATGATCTTTTACTTGGTATTGTACCAACTGATAGTGATAAGGGAATCAATACGGCAATAAGTTTTATGAATCTCGTAGAATATTTTAATATTTGTGACTATATTGTAGGATTCTGTTCTGAAACCACAGTAAGTAACATGGATGGAAATCTGGTACATTAACATCATGGCAAGATTTCTTCGTAAACCATTTCTTTGGTTATTGTGTAAACACCATATTGTCGAGGTAAATATTACTTGGGCTTTTAAGACAATCTCAAAGGAAATGTCTAAAGCCCTTGCAAATAAGTTGCTAAAAATTTTCAGAAGAAATGGATAACAGAATTTTACCCAAAGGTTTCAGCCAATAATACTGTAGAAAAGTTCAAACGATTTCTTTTAGCAAGACCTTATTGTTGGCAGTGATCTCTGCAAACTCTATTTAAAGTCTAAAATATTTGTAATCAAAACAATAGAACATAAAATCTTTACCGGGTATGTAGTATAAAATGAATCAGTTTTTCCATAAATTTATTATCTTTTTTTTTAAAAGATATTAAATAAAAATAAGGATATTTTTGGAATAATTATAGGTATCTTGTTGAATATTTGGCATATTACATAAATGTTAAATCTGAAAAATTAAATAATTTTCACACTATCAGCCTGATGACTGACACTTATACTTATGTATACTTTTTAATGCTCAATATGACATCCACAATCATTGAATATCTAACTCCTGAAAAGAAACATATGGTCTCAAGGGTAGCATTTATTGTTGCTATTTATTATGGAGCTGCCTTTTTTAAATCAGGCAAAGTAAAGCATGTCGTTCTAAATGATTTTAATGCATTCAAAATTTTCTATTAAAACAGAATGGATTTATGAAGTTGAAAACTCACTTCAGAAAAGCATGAGTAACGACACATGGTATTTTTCTCCTAAAGTTGTTGTACTATTGTTAGGTGATCCTCATATGAAAGCACATGCTAAGCGTTTAATCATGAGAAACTTTTAAAATTTCTAGTTTCATTGTTATCAGAGATTTCTGTAGAAGCTTTTTTTGCTGTTATTATTACTAGTGATAGTTGATTAGAGGATTTATTTACGAAGGAGAGTTGACTTTTTTTTATACTTACAGGTTACATTGAATCTGTTCGAAAGTGGCATATTTCAAGTGATTTCTAAGCGCTAGATTCATACACACATTTTACTCAGTTTGTTCGCAAGAGACTTAACATTCTTTTGGTAGTCAGGGAACAAAGAAAGCAAATAACAAAAGATATGTTGCTTAAGGAACAGCTATAGCTGAAACCTAGAGTTAAAAAAATTATGTAAAATAATAGCTAATTGTATGAAACTATAAACAGTGTTTTTTTTCTTCTAAGATCAAACAAAAGTTTAGTTATAAAAATAGTTTAACCCATAAAAATGAGATAAAGTTCAGTCAATCTTTAATATTTAAAAAATTACATATAGCACTTCCAAAAAAAAAATAAGTGAAATTTTTTGGAACAGGATAAGCAACTGCGGTTATTGGTTTTCAAAAAATTTCATTTTTTGACCCTATTTTGTGTCACCGTATTGTATAAAGCACCTAAAAGTAACTTGACAATAATAAAACTGAAACAGTTTCGACCATATCAAATTGTTCCTTTAGTTGTTGTTGACTTGCTTTTTTTGTTTTCTTGGTAGTTTTATAAAATCCAATAAAATCCAAAATTTCAAGTTTTACCTGGGGTGAATTATAAAAATGGAAATATATGAATTATAAAAATGGAAATGTAAAAGCTAAATTTTTTTTCAAAAGATATTTTCAATAATTTAGTTAGAGTTAGCTGTGGTAGTTTATTCCATCCGCCTGATTTATTTCATCCCATTGCATAAACTCAAAACGATAAAGATTTCGGTTTATACCTGTTATAAGTGTACTAACACGTCCGTAGTACTTTGATAAACATAAACAAGGAGAAAATCGCTTAGTGGATAGGAATTTTAGAAATAAAGTTTACATAAAAGTATTATTAGTAAGGTGATATAAAAAAAAATTATAGTAATAAAAAATAAAAAACTCATAACTAATCAGCCATTTATTTTCATTAAAAAAATGTACAAATACTTTTATAATATAAAAGTATTTGTAATAGTATAATTCACAAAACTATTCTATATATATTCAGACAGATATAAATTATTATCTATGTGAACTAATACTATTAATTTGACTACTGTTGAAATATGGTTTTAACTTAAACAAAACTAAATTCAACACTATAAAAGTAAGAATAACTTTGTTTTCTGGTAACACCATTAATTTTTTTCATGTATTTGTCATGGCAGCAATAGTTTATGTGATACTTAAAGTAAAATTAAGGTTATAAAAATTTTTTGTTTGCTTTTAGATGACATCTCTTGTTAACACTGCTCTCAGAAAAAACTCTTCGTTCCGAGGAGTATTATATTAATACCGAGAAACTTCACAAATAAACGTATTTAAAGCTTTTTAAATATTTTTAAATATTTATAACGTTAAAATTCATAAATTTTTAAATAATTTTTAAACAGATGTTTTAAATTAAGATTTAATTTTAAAATGCATTAAAGAAAATTCCATAAAATCAAGTCTTTCAACATATATAAAGCTTAATTAATAAATTGTAAAGTTCATTCAAAAAGCTTATTGTCATTATGAAATACCCACCATGATAATGCAATATTTTGGATTAAGACTTTTACCATCACTCCAAATTCATGGTTAACTTGGTCACTTTGGGTTATATTAATTACTTATTAAATCCTAATTACGTAACAAGGTTCAGGTAAAATAAATTAAGCACTGACTTTTAAAAGGAAAAAAATGGTAGCCTAAAGCCTGATTTATTCCGTCCCGTTGTATATTAATCACATTTATTTGCTTATGGGAATGAAAAATTTGTAAGCGAGTTTTAAAAGACCATTACCTTTACTACATAAAAAAAAAATAATAATAATAATTATTAAAATAGTTTTAATTTGATGTTTTACACATTGGGATGTCATTTTCATGAGATTTGAATAAATTTGTCTCAGCAGCAAAAATTATAGTGCTTAAGTTTGTGGCTTTGTTAAGGCTATTTATATATACAAAAAATGTTAGGATGGAATAAATCCGCTTGATTTATTCCATCCCATTGCGTAAAAAACGGAACTTTTTTCTAACTATGTTCGGTCATTTTTAACGGCTTCAACTTAAAAACGCATTCTCGTTTTGAGTTTAACGCAGTGGAATGGAATAAATCTGGCGGATGAAATAAACTACCACATCACAATAAATTGGGTTTTCATTTTTCCTAAAACAGAAATGAATAATAATTTTCTTACTTATGTCAAATTTTTCTAGAAAGACTTGACAATTAATAATATTTTTTTATCCCATAAACTGTTTTTCACATATTTTTTGAAAATAAAAATATAAAATTTGTGATAAAAAATGGAAAGTGCCAATAATTAAGTCATGCCAATAACTAATTAAGTCATCCAAATAACTAACCTATAATACAAAATATGAGACTATCATATCTGTCTTTTCTATATTGGCATTCAAAAGTGCTGTATGATGGAAAAATAAAGAGTATGGATAATCTTTATGCTCAAAATATATCTTGTGATTTTTCTTCAATACTTCAACATAAAATAACTGGATTTTAAAAAAAATACAATTTTTTAATATTTTAATATTTTTGGTATTGTTAAACATCATCACGGTTTTCTGAAATCCTGACATTTTCAAAAAAACTACCCGTTATCCTCTGACTCGTTAACTATATATAGAAATAGTATAAATAATTTCCAGAAAAAAACTCACATTGACTTGGATTGACAATCACATAGAAAAATAAACTCACATTGGCATGCATTCACAGTCACATATATAATAAAAGAGCATATATGACTGATCATATATGTTTTTTAATTAAAAGTTTTTATTTATTTTCACTTTACAACTTAGTATGTTTTATATATTTTGATTATTTATTTAAATATTTCACTTTCCAAAGTTTCACTTACGAAAGTACTTTAAGATCAAATAAAAGCGAGAGAATTTTTATAACTTCATCTTGAAAATCAATTATTTTGTAAAATAGAAAATAGAATAGCTACAATAAAGTAATATCTTTAAAAGAAAGTTGTTTTACGGTACCGATTTCTTCAATTGGATTCTGTGCCACGTTTTCAAACTTCACTTTGTGTTCCTCTAGCAAAGACTTGTTTTGTGGTTTTAATTTTAAAGAATTTGTTATCAGTAGAAATGTTTTTTAAAAAGTCGAATGATTTAACTTAATTGTGTTTTTTTAATTCAATTATCTGAGTTTTCTTTTAAATTTTTTGTTTTTAAACCATTGTTAGTTTTCTCAATGGAAAAAAAAGTATTGGTATTTATTTTTAAACCTATTCTTCTCAATTTTTATATGTATTTTTTAAATACCTAATAAATTTCATTTGAAAAAAAAAAATTTGTATCGCAGAGACCCCACTTTTTCTCGCAAAATAGATAATTAACGGCTTTTTTTATTTTTGTTATCCTTTAAAATATCAAGTTAAATCACCTTAACTTTCAAACGCGATTGGTATTATGGGAATACAATAAGTAACTATTACCAACAAAATGCTTTTGACCAAACGGAATACTTCAAAATTAGTCTAAGGACTCCATTTCAATGATATATTTAATTACTACGTATAAACTAGATAAATAAATTTGATCCGAAAAGTGAAGCCACTTTTGCTCTTTTTACTAATGGCGGATTAAATTTGTAAACAAATATTATTTAAGTTTTCTTTTCTTAAATGAAGTAAATATATTTTAAATATAAATTCTATTTATATAAAAGTGTTAAGAAGAAGTTTGAATACTTGTAAAATAAAAATTTGTTTCCTATTTTCATTTCTGATTAGAAAAGGATTAAAGTTTTGAATAGAAAAGTGAAACGACAGATATTTTTGAAGCATTTTTAGGAATTGTAATATATATACTTTTTAATAAACATAACCTCACTTTTTAAACATAACCTCATAAAATAACGTATAATAAGTATTTTATAACTATTTTATAATATAATAATTCGTCTTGGGTATATTTAGTGATAATTTATTTGCACTGAACCAATCAGTAAGATTTATAAACTTTTTGTTTACAGATTTGAACAGAATATTTATATCCTCATGTGCATAGAATAGGTTTGTATCATCTGCAAATAAAGTTGTATCTAGTTCACTGAATGCTTTACTTAAATCATTGATATAGATGAGAAATAGGAGTAGCCCCAATATAGAACCTTGAGGGACCGCACACATTATATTCATACCGGTCGTTTTACCATCATTGTAAGAAATGTATTGCGATCTATTTGTCAGATAGCTTCTAAACCATGAAATATTTATATTTTTTACACCATAGTTTTCTAATTTTTTTAATAAAATGAAGTGATCAACCAATGTCGAAACCCTTTCTGAGATCAATAAATACACGTAATGTGTATTTATTTTCATTAAACGATTTAAATATATTTTGAACAAGATGGACAATTGCCTGATCATTAGATTGGTTCTTTTTAAATCCTTTTTATAAAAAATATCTTTTAGTTCTAGTTCTAAAAGTAGTTCAAATTCATAATTTGTTTCACCTTTTTTACACCAAGTTTTCGTCAATAATATAAGTAATAGTCAAAATAAAGTTCCGTTAATTAATGACAAATATTGTAAAGATTAATTTTTGCTTTTCTTTGCAACCCAATCGCGAATTATCAATTATACATATCATAAGACATGTATGCAAACATATAAGATATGTATACAAACTTACCAGCCACTCGTTAACTTTTCATTTCCCTCAAACTATTCCTGATTTGCGTGGTTTCAGAACAAAAATCCTCGTTTATATAAATGTTTTTTCCTTTCAGATTGCTTGACTTGCTCAAAATTGCGACTTAATCTTTAAAATCTAAAAATTTTTTTTGGGCCCGTTTAATTTGGCCATTTTTAATATATATATATATATATATATATATATATATATATATATATATATATATATATATATATATATATATATATATATATATATATATATATATATATATATATATATATATATATATATATATATATATATATATATATATATATATATATATTTCGATAAAAAATCTTGCAATCGAGGTCATTTACAAATAGTTAAAAACTAATCTTAAGTAAATACCATGAAATAGAATTGATAATACAAATAATAATGATAATAACAATGATGATAAATTAAAAGTTATAAGAATAATAAGAAAATTATATGATAATAAACCAATATCAACTTTAACACAACAATTGAATATAATGCACAGACAGGAAAGTTACAAACAGTTATGTACTGACAAAACGTAACAGCCTACCATGTAACTAAAACAATTATTGCAAAAAAAAAGTAACAACGATTTAATAAATATAGCAATCTTAATATCAATAATCATAATAAAAACAATACAAGAAAAATAAATATTCCATTAAAAAATAACAATAAATAAAACAAAAATTATTCAATAATATTCACAAACAAAAACGTGTCACACACACAAACATTTAGTCACGAAAAGTATAGTTTTCATAATAAATAACAATATTAAAATAAAAAAGTAAATCATATCAAGCAAACACATATCGTCACTCAAAAATAATAAAATATAAAAAATATTCTTTTTTCTTTCTTCAAAAAAGAAGCAATTTTTATATTTTATTTTAATTTCTTTTTGATTCCTTTCCATTTTTGAATGTTTTTTTTTTTTTTTAACTTTGGATTTTTTTTTCTTTTTTCTTTTCTCGTTTCTTTTTTCTTTTGTTAATAATATATATTTTGTTAATAATAATAGATAGTAATCCTTCAAAAGTTTTTTTTACCTTAGATTCGCTTTACTCACAGATTTCGCCTTCATTTTCATTAATTCCATCCACTTTTAAGTTATTATGTCTCGATCGATCTCCCATCTTCCTTAACTTTTTATTCATGCGTATTATTTCTGATTTGTCTTCTTTACAATAAACATTTGATTTCTCAACTTTTTCATCGATTAGTTCTTTATGAAAATTTTAACTATGTTTCAATTCTTCTATGTCTTTTTTTAACTTTTTCCAATCTGAATTAGATTATTTTTGAGTTTCCGCTATTAATATCGATAAAAACTTTTTCCAGTTGTTTTAACGTCAATTCGAATTCTTTTTTGTAGTCCTCAAACAATTTTACTATTTCTGATAATGTAACAGCCATATTATATAAAAAATGAATTATTTTCTCAAGAAAAATAAATAAAATATATTAAAGATTTAAAAATTATACAGTTTTTTCTTTGAAGCCGCCATATAATGAACGAGCATATAATGAAATTTTTTGATTATAATGAAGCCAGCATATAAAGAAATTTTGATGAAATAATGATTCCAGCATATAATGAACTTCAGTCTGGACAATACCAGCGTAATAGAGTTGTGTGCTCCTGTTTAACTTATTTTTAATGCAATTATAAAAAAAATTACTTGAAATAAAATACCTTAAGTATTGCCGTTAGGATGTTTGTCCTATTTTTTCCAAATTTATTTAAGACCTGTAATCAAGGCCGATATACGCATCTATTGTTTTCTAAAAGAAAGCTCAAAGATGGAGTTGTTAAAAAATAAAAACACTTTTTAACTATAGTTTAATTCGTAAAGTAGACGAAATCGATTATGTATCGCCACCTATAAGCTTGAAGAATCTTATACAAATAAAAAAAAAGGTTTGATAAAATTATATATAATAGTAATAATATTAATAATATTTGTAAACAATCAAAGCTATATAATAAAACAAGCATTATGTCGATTAAACTATTGCAAACGTTAACGTTTACGTTAACGTTTGCAATAGATTAATCGGTTGAGTTAAAGTCTAAATTTTAGCTTATTTAATTTAAAAATTAGTTAAATTCAAGTTAATGGTAAAATTTAATTTAAAGGTAAACTCATTTTAAAACATTGTTTAATATCACACACTGAATGTTACAAATGAGTTTTATAATTTAGCAACATTTAATGAGAATGTACATCGGTTTTGCAAAGCTTTGCAAGAGTGTATTATTCTTCAGTTTTTATATCTTAATAGAATAGGTCAAAAATTAAGTTTTTGTTGCAATTAGTTTTTATTTTTGAAGAATTAAAGAGTTGTAAATATAGTGTTGTAGAATAATTATATTTTCAAGAAGTTAAAATTAATAATTTTTAAGTTTATGTTGTCATTTTTAGATTAGGAATAAAGTAAGTATATTTACTTTTGACAATGCACAAACAAAAACGAAAGTTAGAAATTATCTGTAATTTAAGAGTCAGAGTTGATGTTCTTGTAATCTCTGTAAGACTGTTTTCCGCTACACTAGAGTGACTTTATACTCTACTAAAATCTTTAAAAAGTACTATTCTCTTTTAATTTATCTATGCAATTGCCTTGTGTTATCAAGGTTTATGTTTTAAATTTAAGATTAAGAGATGGTTTTAATGGCATTTATATTAGTAGTATTATATTATATGGCATATATTAGTAGAAAATCAGTTATCAAATTAATAAACCTTCAATTTATACCAAAAATTAAATTGGAGGAAGTAATAGATTTCTAGCTACTATTTTTCACATGTTTGTGAAATATGACACTTATAAAAATGATTCCCTAGAAATGTTTGTTTCAGCTTTTTTTTTAATATATAATATAAGAGGGTATTTTTAATTTATAATATAAGAGGGTATTTAATATAATTTTAATATGTAATATAAGAGATTTTTAATATATAATATAATATAAATTTAAGATTTTTAATATATAATATTTGATATAATTATTTTTTGAGCTCACTTATTTGTATAGTTTTTAGGAGAAACTGATTTTCATGTCAACATTTAGAAATCAATTTCAATTTTTTGTTTAATAACCTTTCTTGGTTCGCGTGTGTAATAATTTAATTTTTTTTTCTTGTAAGCATAATATAGGGCTGCCATAAATATCGGACTACTGACTGGGACAAAAGCCCTCCTCCCCGTAACAGCCGTACCTAGCTATTCTTTTTTCCATTTAAAGTTTAAAAGTGAAGTTTTTAAAGTTAAACCAAAAGTAAATTGATTCCTTTCCGGCTTGCCTCTCCAAATGCCATGGCCCCACAGCGGCTGCCTAGGATGAACATGTGTAAAGACAGCTTGAATGTACCGTCAGAAATATACTTGTTTTATAATGCTTATAATGTCTTTATAACAAACGATTATGATAAAAGCTATAATACCGATACCAGTATAGCTATACTACCAATAATAATAAAATAATAAAGCTAAAAATATTGATAGGTTTTTTTTTTAATTTTAGTTTGTTTATGAGTGGGGGGGGGGGAGAGAATTGTCCTGGTGTTGATAACATCTTCTGACGGGTATTGAAAACAAGTTTTGCGCTTTTGCATTATTTGAATAATTGAAATCAAAATTAAATTCAGCAGAAGTTAGAAAATTACATAAACACCTACAAACAAAAAATGTAAAAAGTGTTTCTAATGTTTATACATCAGGGTTATTTTTTTAAATAAAAAATAACCCTGGGACATGTTCCGGTGTACTGGGACGTATGGCAACCGCATAATATGCTTTTTTTAGAAATATTATATGTAGGTGCTGTTTTAAGAATCGACCAGTTCAATATAAAATCATCAATATTTTTATCTTTTAATTCCCATATGTATTTTGACAGCATGGTGTCTTTTGAATACTTTTTATTTTTAAAGGACTGTTGAATGGTTGGCAAAAAAATTTTTTCGTTGGCCCTCTTTTAAGCTAATATTTTGTTTATCAGATACATTCTTAGAGGAAACAATACATTTATATACTGCTTTTTTTGATAAACATTTTTCACTCATTGGAAAATTGTTTTATTGTGTACAATTACAATTTTCTGTTGTTTTTTAATTTAGGATTTCTATTTTGTTTAGTAAAGCATTATTGTGACTTTTTATAATTCTTTCCATATTTTTTGTGCAACTGTAGCTAACTTTAATTGTATTTCGAATAAAAATTTTATGTAATCTATTAAAGGGTTTATTGACAAATTTTCAAAACATGTTTTTTATGTTGGTGGAAACATTTTTGCTATATGAGAGGTTGATCCAAATTACAATTCTAGTTTTATTTCCCTTTTTTGTATTTTGTATTTCAGAGTCAAATTCTAGCTCAAAATTTTTAAATTCACTTTTTTTAAGGGCATCTTCGAAAAAATCCTTTATGAGAATTGAATATATTTTTATCAGCTGAATTTTGGTTTAGCCTTTTATTAATTAAAATTGGAATTTGTTTTAGAATTTAAGGTGGATGATTCAATTTAATATTAATATACAATAATTCATCATCTAGTTTGAAAGACTTATATAAATTTTCAGAGAAGTTAAACGTTACATCAGGAAAATTCACAGTTTTTAAATTAATGATTATTTCAATTTGAAAGCCATTATTTTTAAAAATTTTTATAATATCTTATTGCTAATTTTACTAAGCTGTGGACCAGATTTTTTACTTATAACTATTAAACCATCATAACAATAAAGACTCAAATCATTAGTATGGATTATTCTACTAAACAAATTATATAAATCTAGTATGCATGTGTATGTATATATATATATATATATATATATATATATATATATATATATATATATATATATATATATATATATATATATATATATATATATATATATATATATATATATACTATAGTGTATAGATCATAGATCAGTGAATGCTTACTAGTTTTATTTATCATTTTAGCATACAGGTTTTTCAGAAAAAGAAGAAAAAAACAAAAAATAATGACTGAAAAGATTGGTATCTTTATCCTATCCCAGACCCTCAGTTGATGTAGTGACACTCATTTGGAGCAGCACGTTATAAGATATATTGATGTATGTACTGAAGTCTCCGGCAGCATCTTAGTGTGATATCACAATACTTATCTAAACATGCAATTATAATTATTGCTTACCTTTGTTGGAGGGTGGCACTAGTTGGGCAATAAAAATTTGGCACAAAGGTTTTACCATAAAACATAAAAATAAGGTTGGCTATTTATTTGCTGACCTCAAACACTTTAAGGTAAGCCTTGCCAAATGCCGACCCTAATTCTGAGGGCTCTATATATATGAAGAACTCAGTGGAAAAACTGGCAGTGAAAAAAATCTCACATTCAAAAAGTTTTGAGAATTTATTGATCATTAAAAGTTTTTATATTAAGCAAAGAAAACTAAAAAAGAGAAGAAAAAAAATTATATTTTGATTAATTTATTTAAAGTTCAATTAAAAATAAATTTTTTATGATTTTTATTGATTTTTATTCTTTATATTGATTTTTATTTATTTTATTTTTTTTTAATTTTTTTTTAATTTTTTTTTTTTTTTTTTTTGCTTTATTATAAAGCAAAAAAAAAAAAAAAAATTTCTTGAATTTTTTACACTTTTTTACATTTTTTATAAAAAAAATACTTAGAATTGCTTTTTATAGAAAAAATACTTAGAATTTTTTACATTTTTTATAAAAAAAATACTTAGAATTGCTGTTTTTGATATTTTTAAGTTGTTTTAGACATTATGTTACTTAGTTTTTTATTTAATTTTCAAAACTATTTTATAATAACAGTTATAATCTTTTATATTCACATTTTAATTTTAATTATCCATTTGTATTACTAAATTGGTGTTATTATATTTAAAAATTGGTGTTATTATTTAAAAAAATAAATCATTCTATAGTATAGAATTAGTCAAGTTAGTGATTTTTATCTTTAGTTTTTAGTATATTTATCAATAGATTATATAGTATAATGGTTAAGTGGAATGATGTATGGTTGGAAAAGTTAGACCAAAATCTAGTGAAAATCCAATTATGGGCTGAAAAAAGAAACTCTAAATATGCTATCTGTAAACTATGCAAAAGTGATTTAAAATTCAGTTCAGTTGGTTTCCAAGCACTATATCAGCATTCTTCAAAACCTAAACATAAGTCAGTGTCTGATCTAAGATTTTCAAAAACTGCACATCATTTATATGTAGATTCTATCAAAAACTCTATTGGGGGAGAAAAAGTTATACAATTTGAGTTCTCTATTAATGAAAAAATTTCTGCTGCAGAAGTCATGTGGTTTTTTAAAGTGGCAGAGAATGATCTTGCCTTAAGACATTGTGACAACACACCAATATTGTTCCAAAGAATGTTTCCAGATAGTAAAATAAGTCAAGGTTTTACTATGAGTCAGCAAAAAGCTTCATATATTTTGCAAGATGGTCTTGGGCCATTGTTGGAAAAGCGTTTATGTAATAGTATCCCGTTAAGTCAAGGTGCATTCACTTTAATGTTTGATGAAACAACTACTTTACAACAAAGTAAACAAATGGATCTTTTATGTCGTTTATGGTCAGAAGACGAAAACCAAGTTGTTACAAAATATTTAACATCGCTGTTCTTTGGCAGAGCAACAGCAGAAGATGTCAAAACTATGCTAGCAATCCCATGGTAAATTTTAAAATTTACCATGGGATTGTCTTTTTAATATTTCAGCAGATGGTCCTAATATTAACAAAGCCATTTGGAGATTGTTAAATTTTTATCTCCATAGCAATGGTTTTAATGGCTTGTTACCATTTGTAAGTTGCACTTTGCACACAGTGCATAATGCTTTTCGAAAAGCAATTAATGTTGTCGGTGAGGATGCTGAGCAGCTTGCATTTGATTTACATACCTGGTTCAAGGTAATGATTTGAGTAATTTTATACAGTAGAATCCCATTAATTCGGACCCTGGATAAGTTGGGTTTGTAGTCACACAGATTTTCAATTCCCCTTGAGCTTTCTATACATACAAAAAGCTTAGTTTATTTGGACATTCGCTAAGTCGGACTATTTATCTATTCCCTGTGAGAGTCTAACTTAACGGGATTTTACTGCAGTTAATACTAAAAGAGATTTTTTTATTTTACCTATGAAGTTATTTTTCTTACATTATTATTATTTTTTATTCTAATAGTCTATTATACGACTAGCTAATAAAGTGTAGTGTCTATGTAATTTTTTTTTTCTGTTTTAGAATGCACCCTGTAAAATAGAAGATTTTAAAAAATTATCAGATTGCATTTTTATTGACGATGAAACATTGTTTCTTCGTTTTATCAATACTAGATGGCTTACTCTTTCTTCCTCACTTATAAAGGTTCTATTAAGGTGGGAAGACACCGAAAAATATTTTTTGGAATATGTTCCAAAACAAAAGGAATATAAAAGACACTGACAAACAACAAGCGTTATATTTATTAAGAGTAGACCATTATTGGGCTAAAGTTTTTGATAGTAACAATGAATATGGAAAAACAAAGTATGGGTATCTCAGTAAAGTTGTTAAGAGCTGTTTAACAATTCAGAATGGAAATGCCAGTGCTGAGAGATCTGATTACAAAAATACATTGACTCCTGGGAGAGTAAATCTAAATGATGAAACATTAATGGTTTTGAGAATATCAAAAGAATATGCAAGAAGTTGCAGAGGAGCATATAATGTTGATGCACTCTCCATCGACGTTGTTCAAGCTGTTCAAAATGCTCATAAAATATATAAAAAAAGAAAAGCTGAAGAAGACGAAGAAAAAAGAAAAAACTATATTCATGAGCAACAACTAATGAATAAAGAAAAAGAACAGAAAGAAATGCTTGAAAAAGTTGAAAATCAAATTAAAATTTAGATCAACAGGAAAAAAGTCTAAAGAATGATGAAAAAAATGCAGATCTTGAGTTTCAGCTTGCTCAGAGAATGCTTGATGAAGCAGCAAAATCCATGCAAAGTGCCATTATTAAGGAAGACATGATGGGTATAAAAATTGCCCATGAATTGGTAAACAGCGCAAAAAGAAGTCTTGAAAATGCTACATCTCATAGAAATGAACAGAAAAAGTTGAGAGAAAGTATTGGTTTAAAATGAAAAAATAAAATGGATAGAATAATTAAGCGTTGCAAAAAATTAAAGTAGTCGTTAAAAGTTTGAAAGTTTTTGTAAATATAATAGAGCTTAAACTGTTGGTTCAGTTATAATTAGTTAGCAAAATTTATTTATTAATGTTAATTATTTTAGACTTTAGAAAAACGTTTTATTGCGTGTTAAACAACAAAAAGATGTTGAGAAAGAAATTAGTGGTGGCAGATGATTTTGTTTGTTATTTTGTTTGTTATTTTCAAAATAAAATTATTCAACTTTTCATTTTTATAATGAAATCAGTCATTTTTATTCATTTTTTGTCATTTTTATTCTCAAAATACTGTCATTTTTTGTCATTTTTTTTGAAAGTTGCTGCTTGACAGCCTGCTTTATATAAAGACTTATTAATGACCAAAAAATTCTTTCTCAAAATATTTTCTTAAAACTTTTAAAATGTGACAACACTGGTTTTTCCACTGAGGTCTTCATACATACATATATATACATATATATATATATTAAACTACTGTAATATTATTAATTACCGCAAAACAAGTTAAATAAGTGTTAAATGAATATAGAAATGCTATTATGAATAGTTTTTTTTTTTTCAATTTTTATTAAATTAAATAATTAAATTTAATATTACATTTTAAAAAATATTTGTTATAAAAAAAAAAATTTCTCGACATTTGTATAAATCGATGGAAATATGTAATAACCGATAGGTTTTATCATGCATTAGATAGAGGTGGAGTGGTAAAGGCTTTTTTCTAAAGCTTTTGATAAAGTTTGGCATGCAGGTCTTCTCCATAAGCTTTCTTCCTACGGTGTATCAGGTAACATCTTTAAGTTTATTGAATCCTTCCTTTCTAATCGTAGTATAAAAGTTATCCTTGATGGGCAGCACTCTTCTTATTCTGTAAGCTCAGGGGTTCCTCAAGGTTCAATCCTTAGCCCTATACTCTTTTTAATTTACATTAACGATCTTCCAGATATTCTCACATCTAGGGTGGCATTGTTCGCTGATGATACTACCATTGATTTTTGTCTTGATAAGAAGCCAACACTCTCTGATCGCTTGGAGGATATATTTGAGCTTAAAAAAGATCACTTCTGCTACAGTCATCTACCCTTCATCTTCTAGGATTAACTCTTAGTTCTGATCTTGGAAACCATATATCAAATCCGTTGCAAAATCTGCTAAGGTTGCATCTCTTTATCGTGCTCAATACTTTCTTAATCCAGATTCTATTCTTTATCTCTATAAATCCATTCTTGTATGGAATATTGTTGCCATATCTGGGGTGGATCTTCTAATAATGAAGATCTTTCTTTTTTAGACATGGTGCAAAAATGCATTGTATGGTTGGCTGCAATGCAGTTGGACCTGCTCTTGCAGCCAACCTCCAACCAATATCACATCATCATAATAATGCTTCTCTTTTTTACAAATACTATAATGGGCACTGCTCTAATGAGCTAGGGTCTCTTGTGCCATCTGCTAAAATTCATTCTTGTGTTACTTGTCATTAAATTAAGTCTCATCCTTTTTCTTTGACTGTGCTTAAGTGCTCCAAATACTCTTATTTGTCTAGTTTTTTTCTTCGAACATCAGTTCTTTGGAATTCGCTTCCTTTATTGTTTCATTCACTTCATTGCTTTCCTGATTCATATAATTTGCAATCTTTTAAGTCGTCTGACAATCATTATCTTGCTCTGCAAACTTCTGCAGAAGTTAGAAAAATCTTTTTCTTGTCAAATCTTTTCTCTTCCAGTAAGTTCTAACTCTTATAGTGGTTGCTTGCAGCCTTGTTGGAAGTGAAGATGTAAAATATATACACACACAAACACACAAACACACACACACACACACACACACACACACACACATATATATATATATATATATATATATATATATATATATATATATATATATATATATATATATATATTCTTGTTTGTGTTTTTATGTGGCTAATTTATAAATTAAACTAAAAAGCATTGTTGCTGAGGTTTATTCATCCAAAAGATATTAGGCATTATTTAGAGCAGTATTTTCTTTGGTTTTTTTCTTCAAACATCAGTTCTTTGAAATTCGCTTCCTTCATCTTGCTTTCCTGATTTATATAATTTGCAATCTTCTAAGTCGTCTGTCAATCGTTATCTCTACAAACTTCATCTTTTCTTTTCCAGCAACTTCCAACTCTTATAGTGGTTGCTTGCAGCCTTGTTGGAGGTGAAGATGCCCAAAAATATATATATATATTTCACTTTTTTATTATTCTTTCCATCCATAGTTTTATATACTACAGGAAAGAGTGTGATGGGTTTGCTGCCTATATATATGTATTAGGGTTCATACTTTTAAAATTTTTGATTTTCAATTCGGCGGATAATTTTTATGGTGCCACTATAATGTAAATATTAACTTTCAAAAAAAAAAAAAAAAAAGTCATTTTTACCAAGGCGGGATTTTTTTTTTAAAAAACAATAAATTTTCCTGAGGAAAAGAGCCTTGTAAGATTGAAAAAAAAAAGTTTAAATTTAATAACTGATAAATTTTTTAAATAATTAGGACTTTCATTAGAATTTTTTCATTAGAAATTTTCAGACTTTATTTGTCTGAATGACATCTTTATAATTCAGCTTAACAACATCGTTTAGCTTAACAACATTAAAAACAAAACAATGTTAAGTTATAATATAGTCATAAAAATGTTTTTGTTTACAATTTTGTTAAAAAAAGGTTACTAAAATTTTTTTTTGATTTTAGCTTGGGCAAAGTTTTTCTGTTATTCATTTGTGCTCTCGCAAACCTGTCTCTTTTTTCGAAACCACAAACGGAAAGTGCTGCTTTTGTAACTTCTTTTACTGCCCTTTCACAAGATAATGTGTGAAGAGGATAGTACGGAGCTTCAAAATGAGTGACCCGATATTTGTCAAGATCATATGTAAAGATTTGGCATGTAAACACTGGTTCTGAAATTTTTTACTTCTCCTAATCTAACAGCTCTTAGCTAGACAAAGCTTCTGTATTGAGAAAAACCTTTTTTCGTGACCTTACAGCTGTGTCTCCGAATTGCAAAGTTTTCTTTATATCTTTAATTGTTTTAATGGTAAACTTCCTCGATTCTTCATCTGAGCTTGACAAGAGCTTTAAAATAAGGGATTTCGAGTGGGCAAAATAGGCTCCATTTTGAATGTATTGTGTGGCAATATTTTTAACTTCATTATCTTGTTTTTTCAGCAGTCGCAACAGTGTTACTAAGTGACCTGGGCCATCTACAATACTGTGTTTTACTTTCATACCACATGTGGAAATATACTTGAGCTACCCATTTAACGATTAAATAAAACTTTCGCAGAACGTCACCAGTAAAAGTGTGATCACTCATATAGAGGAAAATGAAAGCTGTTGTGGTAAGCCATCTGCTGTGGCAAATATTTCCACACTTTGCTTTACAAAGATTTATGTCCATCTTTGCAGTGGACAAACATTGTACCAACTTATAACAGAGAGCTGCATCTGTTGACATTGTTTTGAGAACTTTTTCAGGAATTTCAATTAAAAGTTCCAGCTGTTCTATAGGTTCACCCGTTTCAAGTCTTTTTATGCTATTGACTTTAAATAAAGCTTTTCCAATAGGGCCAGTTAAACCATCCTTTAAATTAGTTGGGCCATCCAATTCAACAATTATGTGCCTCAATAGTAATTCATTACAATGGAGCATGCAAATAGACCAGAATAATTTTCTCCCTACTAATTGTTCCAGATTTGACAGCAAATCTCCATTTTTTCCTGAACCTGTCATGGAGTTTGTAGAATCTCCACCTATGACCTCTAAGGACTTATGGATTGCCCTTGGAACCATCCAATTGTAAAGAGCAAATGCAGCTTCTTTGGCTGGTTTGTTTGGTAGTATAGCTTTAGGTGTTGTGTAATGAGTAAGGTATCTTCCATCAGGCTCACAGGTCACAGTTATATGTTCTTCTTTTATAGTCCTCATGTGAAATTTATTTGTTAGAGGATTCTGTTCCAAAACTAAAGTTAAGTCCTTCCTTCCATCAATAAACAAACCTCTAACAGGTTCTTCATCAGTTAACTTTTCTTCAGACATTATTACTCTCTCCATTATTGCTTTCCTTGCTCTTCGTACTTTCATAGGATCAACAGCTAAATAAGACATATCAGGCGTCAAATACTTCGCTTCAATAAGATCTAGAAGAAAGGATGTAACAATAGCTGATGTTGCTGGTGGTGAAACATCATATCTTATTGAAACTTCTGCAATATGACCAATTGACATATAGTTTTTTTTCCAAATCTTGTTTTGAAGCGGATCTTCTGAAATCTTTTCCTTTTTTAAATCTGAATTATCCTCAATTAAACATTCAACATAGTTGTCACTTTCTACCTTATTTTTTCTCTACTCCAGACTTCCTCTTCGTTTTTTTCTCCTCTTGCAAAATCTGTCTGGCGGTCTCTTTAATGTCATTGAAACCCATCTGGTATTTTGAAATAGATCCTTTTTTTTTCCTTTGGGCATTAAGCCATGGAAGTTCAACCTTAGGAATTTTTTTCTCTTTCACACAAG